CGATAGTTAATCGATCAAAAAAGTTTAGTAATCGATTAATATATTTTTTGTGACACTTAATCAATTAAATTTGTCTTGTAATCGATTAAAGATGAATAAATTGATGTAATAATTTTAAAACAGGGACAAAGTAATTATTTTTTATTCAATAAAAGACAAAAGAGTTAAAAAATCCATTGTAAACCCCCCAAATATCAACTCAAAAAACAACATAAAGGTCAATGAGCTATCGTGGATGCCCCCGGCCCCGGCTGTTCTTACCCGCTGGATTTTTTTTTTCATCCCAACTTTTTGGCTACTGTTCACCCTCGTGACAAAGATAACATGTTAAGATATTTAAAGCAGATATTCAATATTCATTCTTGGAAATACAATTTACGAAAAATAAATAAATAGGAAACATTATAACTATTGCAGCTCTACAGTATATCTTTATCTCTGTTGTAGCAATTTAGATTTAATGAGAATGAATTTCTTTTAACTGTTAACCGCATTCCCATAGTATATCCTTCCCCAAATTAAATTCTAATTAGGTCTTAAGTTTATTGTCTCTCTTAAACCTTCATCATAAGTTTGGGAATGGAACGGGCTAAAGATTCTAGCTTCGCAATGGCCAAATATTTTTAAGATATCATTAATTTGTGGGACCTAAACACTTGCTTACTTTCATAGATAATTAATTATAACCCTTTTCTTTGTATGTGAATGTTGCCTTGAGTTATGGAAAAATCACCTGCGGAGCTAACAAGCTTGAGTTATGGAACAAAGTTAACAACCTTGTTATTTTTCTAGAAACATTTTAGGCAATGGCACATATGGGAACAAGTTTATTTCAAGTATGCTAGAATGAAAGTTGGGTTTGTCTTCGGTGTATGCTGGCAATGATATATGCTAAAACAAGCACGGCATAATCTAATTCTGAAAAAGGAAAGATTATTAATCTCAATTAACATGGTTTATGGTGTATCAAAGCTTACTTAGGAAGCCCATGTGCATGGGATATTTCTAAAGAAAGTTATAAATCGAATGAAACTAAGCCATATAATAAATGGGAGAAATTAGAGGCTAAACAGTCAATATAAAAAAGTTCAGATCTAATCATCCAAATACAGGTCATGAAATTGGACAATTGAAGGTTCTATTTTTCCGGTTCCCACGCCAATGAGAAACGTGGTGTCAGCCTTTTCATTGAGGCCAGTTCAATTACGATTTACATTTGTCTATCATCTTTTTGCTGCAGAGGGATGCGAAGAAAATGGGCATGAAATGCATACAGTTGCATGTGGGAGGACAACAGGAGCACATGGCATTGCGCCATTATGTCAAATCCGTGCAATAGCTTTCTGACTACAAGGGAAGGGTTACATATTTGATATTTCTTGTTGAAGTTAACAACAAAAAGATATAGAGAGAGAGAGAGCAAAATGATAAAAAGTTCATTTTTCCCAGCTAATTTTCTTGCTTTTACAACTTCATAAAACTTCCATTTTTTTTCCTCTTTTTTGTTTGTTTGAATTGATTACCTTATCTGAACAGATATTGAATCCTCTAAAATAAGGAATGTACTTTTTAAAGAATAAAATGAGGCATTATAATCGATGATCAGAAAAATTAAAAAAATAATTATATCATAAACTCTTGATTTTTAAATAAATATTAAAATTTTCCATTTATTTTATAAATTATACGTTCCTCATTTCAAAGAATCCAAACACATTTGAATTGATTAAGTAATGACAATTTTTTATTTCAAGGTTTTTGACTAGTTAGCAATATTAATAAAGTTATTATTACGGTATGAATTGCATTCAGTTAAACATTAAAATAAAAAATTACAAGTTCTGTATAAACCTCCTATCAAATAATGACATTTTCTCTCTATTTTAATACTACTCTCTTTGTTTCTTCCTCTTCTGATTGAGTTTCATAGAGTTCATTTCCTAAGAACTATTTTTTGAGTCATTAGGATTGATATTGTGATTACGGATATAATCATATAAGTAGTTTGGATGTCATAGGTTTTTACCTTAGTGCCATCATTGTAAAAAAAAAATCATTTTCTCTTGTAACTCCCCTTCATCTTTGTATCTTATTAAGCACTGACATTTCAAAATCTTTAACGTGTCGTGTCTGACACTCACCGATACCCGACACTTCTCGACACTCCAATACTCATTGCAAAGACTCGAAAAAGGTTCAAATGTTACGTTGCGTTACATTTTGCGTTTCAACTATTAGATTCGTTGGATTACGATTACTATTTTATTGAGTTTAATATAAACATTTGGGATATCTTATGTTTCTTTGCAAAATTGATGGGTATTATAAGTTTAACTTTATTTTTTATTAAATTATTGAATATTAAATGTAATTTACATTGCATAAATTAAAAATATTATATATTAAATGTAATTTACATTGCATAAATTAAAAATATTATATAATATCAAAATGTGTCCTAATATGTTGAAATTTAACATTTTTTAGAATTAACGTGTCGGAGTGTCATGTCGTATCCCGTGTATATCTATGAACTGTTGGTTCATCTACTGCCAAAGTGCAGCGTGACTTGTTATATTATCAGTTGAGCAATAGGGAAAAAGAATAGATAAACAATCCTTCCCTTCTCAAGCCCCTTTCTGTAATAAAACAGTAATTTAAGGAAAATATATATTGGTCCCAACCAAATAATGCTGTATGGCATATGAGATACAAAGCACTCCAATCATTTATAAGAGAATCATGGTGGAAAGTTATTCTTCTCCACATGCAGATAATACAATCTTTTTGCAGCACAATTTTTTTAATAATATTATATTATATTATGTTGTACGCAGAATTTTAGTTATAACAATGTTTAGAAGATTTTTTTTCCTCATTAAATGCTTTGAATGTCTGATATGAGATATCATTTGCTACAAAAACTACTACAAAATAAAATATCAATCACTCATGAATATACAAGTACACTGCCTACATCTGCACATAAGAAATTTATAGTATAGTTCATAAACTATTTATCTTCGAATATAAAAGAATTGTTTAGAAAAAAGTTACTATTTTTGTGGAAATTGACAATTTACTCATAAAAAAGAGAGAGGAGGCACAGCAAACAAGGACCTGTACCTTTCATAAATAAAAAACAAGCAACGAACCAACAATTGCGAAATCTGATTTACCATAATTCACTTCAACTTGTACTCTAGTCCATTCAACCGCGACAGTTTGATTTTATTGAAAAGCATTGAAAACAACAAAAGAACGAGAATTGCGGTTGAAATGCATAATGTAAATTAATAGCACCCCAATTATGCCATGTTGAGTCTATCCGAATGGATGGACATGTAGGGTTAGGTTGGTATGTAAGTGGTATCCCGTATCCGAACTCAATGCTAAAGTTGCTTTTGCTTATCCATAGAAGTTCCATGACTGATGACTATGTATGGTCCTTCATCATTGATAATTAAGGACAAGTTTTGGATGGAGGATATTAGAAAGAAAGATAAAGAATGATGAGGTTTTTTACTTTTGAATCGACCACATTTATTATTTTTCACTGATTACGGTTGGGGTCTCATAGATACTCTCTGCTTTAAGTTATGGGCAACAGCTTCTCTCAGCAATTTCCGGCGAGCTTGAAGCTCTCACTTCGACTCTATTATGCAAACAAGACACACCTAAAAAATTGGGGTTTAATGTTACTCCGGTAAGGAGAGATAACTTTATCAATTGGGACCCCCTGTATATGTGTAAGTTAGACTCTTATTTCACCAGGATCAAAAGTCCTTACATTATCTGCATAATTCGAACTCACGATATAAATTAGGGAAAATATTTGTCATTTCTTTTTATACAATGATAAAAATTGAACATATAACCTAATATGAATTATTCAAATCTCTTTCGTTACTGTATCAATCCTAATGGCTTAATATTTGTTATTTTAAATAATATAATTTTAGGATATTTTAAATTAATATTTTTTATATTCTTTTTTCTTTACTTTCTCTGTCTTCCTAATTTTATGGAGGAGAAAGAATATAAAATACATCAATCATGCACAAAAATAATATCGTTTCATCTAATATAATACAAAATTGTGTGCTATAAAATGAGAAACATTTTTTCATAAACTTAATCTTTAACTAACTACACCCGCCTTATTGGTGAGTTGCTTGAATTATCAGTATATTAGCTTTTCAGGTTTTTCCTTTCAGTCATCACTTTGGTCATTTAAAAAAAATGTTAGCAATTTAGTTTTTAAATAATAATAATAATGTAAAGTATTATCGTTGTGGTCTTTTATTATTTTCACATTAATTTAGTTCTTCGATTATGTAAATTATCATCAAATTAAGATTTTGTGATATTTATTTTTCACCATCTAATAAAAAAATAATTTGATAATACTTTATATAATTAAGAGATTAAATTATAATAATTTTTTTTTAACAAAACTAGAATAATGATGGCCATTCTATAAGGGGTTTATTTTTTAATTATAATTTTCAAAATCATGTCAAACAAGGCGGGAGATAGGCACAAGTAACGATAGGATCATAGGAATACAACCAAAATTGTTATCGATTAAGGCAATTGATACAAGTTATACAACCAATGGCAATTCATTATTGCATGATTTATTGATACACAATTGTATTTTTTTTTTTTTCACGGTGAACTACATAACTTCTTTTCCAAAATTTGGAGTTAGGCGAATCAGGATTAAAAATTTTAAATCGCTATAAAAAATAATAATATAAAAGATCGAATACATACCCTCGTCCTTAGACCTGTGTGTTCTAAAGATGTCTTTCTAGTTATTGAAGAAATGGAAAGCATGAAAGGCAGAGAAACCTGTTGTATAGGATGTGGACCTAATTATTGTTTTATTGTAACGAAGCAGGACGTTACAGAGGTAACTTTTGCTTTATAAATACCTGTGTTTGAAGAACAAAAGAGAACACACTGGGGCTTGCAGGTTTCAGTTGAAATTGAAAATGACTCTCTTTCTTTCCTTCAATACCCTTCTATCTCTTTTTCTCTCTACTATTCTGCTTCATTGTGATGCCTTCCCAGTCCATTACAATCACCCCTTGCACCCTCGCCACCCTCGATTTGCCACTCATAACTACAGAGATGCTCTCACCAAATCTATTATTTTCTTTGAAGGCCAGAGGTCAGGGAAGCTTCCTTCTAATCAGAGAATGTCTTGGAGAAGGGACTCTGGTCTCTCTGATGGCTCAGCTATGCATGTATATAGCATTCACCTCGCTCATTACCATGTTGTTTGTGTTTTTTTAGTTGCTTATTTCGGTGTGAATATGCAATGCAGGTTGATTTGGTTGGAGGGTACTATGATGCTGGGGACAATATCAAGTTTGGTTTTCCTATGGCCTTTACCACCACTATGCTTTCATGGAGCGTTATTGAGTTTGGTGGGTTAATGAAAGGTGAGTTGCAGAATGCCAGAGAGGCCATTCGTTGGGCTACTGATTATCTTCTCAAAGCTACTGCACATCCAAACACCATTTATGTTCAGGTTGGTTTTCTCTTGCTAAAGTCTTGTGTCTGTATGTATGTATGAATGATTAGGGAGAAAACATGGGAGCTGACATTGAATCTGGTTTGGGTTTGCAGGTGGGAGATGCTAAGAAGGACCATGCCTGTTGGGAGAGACCTGAGGACATGGACACACCAAGAAGTGTCTTTAAGATAGATGCAAACACACCTGGTTCAGAAGTTGCTGCTGAAACTGCTGCAGCTCTTGCAGCTGCTTCTCTGGTTTTCAGAAGAAGTGACCCCTTATACTCCAAAACTCTAGTCGCGAGGGCTATCAGGGTAAGGCTTTGATTCAACTCTTCAAAAAATAAAAAAAAAATAAAAAATTGCATTTTTAATGGAGCAAATTTCTCCCAACTAAATATTTCCATTTTGTACAAAATCTTAGATTGTGTTTGTTTGTGGGTGTAGGTCTTCCAGTTTGCTGATAAATACAGGGGATCCTACAGCAATGCCTTGAAGCCCATTGTGTGCCCTTTCTATTGTTCTTACTCTGGTTATCAGGTAAAGTTTCACTTGTTCTATATCCCCAATTGATGTTGTTCAGTTTGTGGGAATAAGCATACTCAAATTCTTTCCTTAAAATGTCTTGATAATATGCTAGGATGAGTTGTTGTGGGGTGCTGCTTGGCTGCACAAGGCTACCAAGAATCCAATGTACCTAAACTACATTCAAGTTAACGGCCAGATCCTTGGTGCTGCAGAGTTTGACAACACTTTTGGGTGGGATAACAAGCACGTTGGAGCAAGGATACTACTTTCGAAGGTCCAAAATCCAAACTCAATCACATGTCTTCTGTTGTCTGTTGCAAAACTAGTAGCAAAAAATGGTTGTGATCTTACGTTTTAGTGCTCTTCATTTTAGGAATTTCTTGTTCAAAAGGTACAATCTCTCCATGACTACAAGGGTCATTCGGATAGCTTTGTCTGTTCTCTAATTCCCGGGGACTCTTCTGCCCAATATACCCCAGGTAAGGAAGGACCCTTTTACTTCTTTCTTATTCTTATCCTCCCTCTCACTGTCTCAACTGTGTGGTCCAATTTGTAACGGTTACTTAACAGTTTTTTTTTTTTTTTTTTTTGGGCGTTTGAAAATCTCCGAAGGTGGGCTTCTGTTTAAGATGAGCGATAGCAACATGCAGTATGTCACGTCCACCTCCTTCTTACTGTTAACATATGCCAAATACTTAACCTCATCCCATATGGTTGTGAACTGTGGTGGAACCACATTAACCCCAAAGAGGCTCCGTACAATAGCCAAGAAACAGGTATTAAAAAACATAACAATATTTATTTAGTATAGTACAAAAAATTGAAATGTGCATTTCTTTCTTGTTAATTGAACTCGAGTATTATTTTTTTTCTATAATTTTCAGGTGGATTACTTGCTAGGAGACAACCCTTTGAAGATGTCCTACATGGTGGGGTATGGTCCAAGGTACCCACGAAGGATACACCACAGAGGCTCATCTCTTCCGTCCGTTTCTGTGCACCCTGGAAAGATCCAATGCTCAGCAGGCTTCGGTGTGATGAATTCGCAATCTCCCAACCCCAACATTCTAGTGGGTGCCGTTGTTGGTGGACCGGACCTGCATGATAGGTTCCCAGATGAACGGTCAGATTATGAGCAATCAGAGCCAGCTACATATATTAACGCACCCCTTGTTGGAACACTAGCTTATCTTGCACACTCATTTGGTCAACTTTAGGGGCAACATCTCCAACTAGTTTGGGTAGTTTTATTTCTTAGAAGTGTTGCACACTTATTTGGCCACCGCTAAGCGCACACTTATATATGTTAACCTTATTATGTATGTGTAATTTGGGAAGTGGTATATGTGATGGTGTTCAACTTGTCAAGAACTTAAAACCAAATTATGACGGTAAATTTGTTTGATAATGCATGTTACTTTTACTTTTCATCGTATCGGCGAGGCAAAATGTTAGATTTAAGAAAGCTTGGGATAGTAGGGACATGGTTGAATTAAAAACACCTTTAACATGGTCTTTTCCTAGGAACTTGGAAATAACCTTTATTACGCCAGCCAATTAAAATCGACGATATAGAAGTAAAGGGGAAATTATTAACTACTATGAAATAAATATCTTATTCTATACTATTTTATGAGGGGTTACTTTAATGATGTGTATTATTGTTGTTTCACTTTATATGCATTTTTAGCCCGGCTGAGATGGGGTTAAAAAGAAAAGAGAAAGAGCACCTAAAAACTTATCCAAAGTGAAGTGTCAATGGGTGGAAAAATGTAGATAAAGACGAACATGATTGAATTAAAGAAAGTTTTAACAGAAGATCTTTTCCTAGAAACTTGGAAAATAACCCTTTGTTACACCAATTAATTAAAGATGATATGGAAGTAAAGTAGAAATTATTAAGTCTCCGAAATATGAGGTGTTACTTTAGTTATGTGTATTATTATTGTTTCACTTTATCTACATTTTTTTAATTCAGCTGACTCGCTGGGGTAGGGTTAAAAACAAAAGAAAGGTTGTACCAAAAAAAAAAGAGCACCAAAAAAAATTCCAGCACCTAGATGTATCTGAACTCTGAAGCAAAGTGGTGGAAAACGAGTTTTTGACCGTTGAAAGTGAGGGCGATGGAAAAAGACGATTTTAGGAGACGTGTCACGGGTGAAGCAGAACCGAAAGAACTGCTTTAGGTTAACGATCAGTTACAAGTGTCAGGGGTGTCAGAAGTAGGAATGCAACTCTCTTTTTTGACTAGAGAACTTAACCGAAACTGTAACAGAACGCTTCCCCGGATGGGACCAAAAGACATTCGTCCAGTCCTGTCTACATGAGTGACCTACGGTCCTACGGATAACTTTTATTTTTTTAATAGACCTACGGATAACTTTAGTAACTAGCTTGGTTGAGCATTTGAGCTTTCATCAGCTTACAAGAAAACCATAATTAAGGCCGTTTGGTATTATAAATTTTAGATTTTCAAAAAACTTACATTCGAAATCCTAGGTCCTATTTGAATATTGTTTCTAATTTTTTTTTTTTTTTTTCAGAACAAAAAATTAATTTGATAAGTCCTGCTTTGTTAAAAAAAGTTTACAAAAATTATTAACTTTTTTATTTTAGAATCAAATTGAGAGAATGTGTATGAGTTGTTTTTATTTTGCATTTTATCTTAAATTTTTAAAACAAAAAAAAAATACAAAAAATATTTATTTTCATAACTATTTTGCAAAACAGTTTTAAGAACAACAAAATCAAAACACAAAACAAACAAACAGACCTCAAGTTACCCAAGTTTGATACAAGAATTTTTAAAAAATTTCTGTAAAAATGAGATTCTTTGGAATTAAAATTATGAATAAAAATTTCATTAAATAATATCATCGGGTGGGTGATATTCTTGAGTTCCCACCTAGTGAAATTTTTTTAAATAACTTGTAGGACATAAATAATCCTGCTTATATTTTCATCCCTAGCCATAATATTTTGCTTCACAGAAGCGTGGGTTCCTCTTACCTTTCACGACTCTTTTATTGGATTCTCATCTGCTTCACGTTGCTTCGCTTCGATAACCCAAACGTCACGATTATCTAGTTCTGACATTGAATCGACAGCCGTTTGTGAATTTTGGGGTTGCTCTTGCAAACCGGATGCTGAAGACAATGACTAGATGATCAATTAAGAACGACTGGTTGCTGAAGATGATTTCATGATTGAGAACAATTTCAGGTTGCTATGATTTGAGAACGGTCAAATTCAAAAAAAATTGGTTTGATCTCCTGATCTTTTTGTGGCATATCAGAAATGTTTTGCAAAAATTCATCAAATGTTAGTTTTATATAATCAACCCACGTTCCCAAAAGTTATTCACAATCAACCAAACATATAATTGAAAAATTTGAGCCAACATTTTTGAGAATATTTTGGCATACGAAACAGCTTTTTTTACAACATTCCTAAAAAATTCATTTCCCCACATAATCCCAAGAATCATAATTTCCAAAACAAAAAAATTTCTCCTCAAACAAACTTCATCTTACATTCACAATCGTTGAACGAACCAACGGGTCTGTGCCCCTACAATCCAAACTCCACAGACTAGAAGTTCGTTGGGGGCTCCTTTTCTTTTTGGTTTTGTTTTTTAAAGAAATGACAAGGGGGAAGGGGTAGTTGAGGATAAGGAAGGTAACTTCAAGAGTCACGCAACGTGCAAAAAACTAGGACATCAACTGTTCAAGCTAGTCCAAATGCTAGAAACTTTTCATCTTGATTATCTAAAACAACTAGCAGAACAATCTGAGACCAAAAATCCTCACAGGTGTACTTTCCATGAAAAGAAGATTACTAACTGCTAAGCTAAGCGAAGCAATACACAAGACATCCAAAAACCAGTATCCAGCATTTCGGACATAATCAAATTTAACATACACTAGCTACCCTGAAACTTTTATTCTAGCAGAACAAGATTTTACGACGGGGTCCATCATTATAAGTCGACGTGGCCGTGGGATAACTAGGAAACAGAATTTCATCTATATTATAAGACAATATTGTGAGACACAACCCAGTTATGTTGGGAAGCAGAAATTTGTCTACATTGTAAGACAATATTACTGTCTTAGCAAGTAGTCACACACGGCCTGACTGCGGAGACACCAGTCAGTTATTTAATTTGCATCATCCTTTGCTAGCGGAGCAGACTTTGCCTGCAAAGAAGTAGTTGAGCACAAAATTCAAATCAATGTAAGTAACAGCTTTCTTTTGTTTCTCATGATATTACTATAGAACATAAAGATGATAAAGTCATAACGCTGCATGATAGCATCCCAATCATTTCCTGAAACTAACGAGTGAATAAATGTTATACCACTCACCAAGTCACGGAATTTAAGGATATAGAACATCTCAAGATATCTTCGAGTTTCACGCCTTTCTAATTTGGAGACATACTTCCAGAAACTATAAACACCCGCCAAGGTCATAAGCCTTTCAGAATAGATCTTCCATGTGTACCTGAATATTGTTTGCTAAGCATAAGTGTCACTAAAAAATCATCTACCAACTTTTACCAAAATCATATGGGATAAGTTATTCTACTTATCTCATTTTCTGCCTACTTGAGATTCTGATCTAATAGTGTTGGAGAGTGGTAGGCAAAAATAAGCAGAGAAAAAGGTAGGTAGAATAATTGTAAAGAACTAAATCAATCCAAAAGTTTAAGCTATTGAGTGAGGTTATATTAATGGTTTTATATATTTCAACACGTCCTCTCACACGAGAGCTCATTGGGCTTGAAGGGTGGACAATGCACAGACCCACCTACCTGCGCTAAGAAAGAAATTTCACTTGAAAGAAAATGGGGGGCGGTGAGGATCAAACCCGATACACCGAGGCTCTGATACCATGTAAAAATCCAATTCAACCCAAAAACTTAAGTAAGGTTTTGAGTGAAGCTATATTAATGGTTTTATATATTTCAACAATAATCTATCCAAATCATATACCTTTCATAAATTCTTTGAAGACCACTATCAGATATTTTATTCCAATAGCTTGGATCCTCCTTACATCGTTGGAAGAACTCAACCAAAAGCTCAGAAGCTTGATCAGGGTGATAAGGATCGATATGGAATCCTGATTTACCATGCTCGATAATCTCAGCGGGACCACCATGGCAAGTAGCAAATGTGGGTAGGCCACAAGTCATGGCCTCCACAACTGTAAGCCCAAAAGCTTCATAGAAGGCAGGCTGCACTAAGAGAGTTAACAGTTACAAATGATGTCTGAGGGGTCAATACAAATAGTAAAGAGAAAGTAGCTACCTGAACGAAAGCACCTTTTGTGTCAGCTATGTAGCGATATAGCTCACCATTACGTGCTCTATTTGTTTGGGCAGCAATCCATCGAAAATCACCATTTAAACTATACGTTTTCATGAGATCATGCATCTTCTCAATTTCTGCAATTTCTTCTCTGTCCTTGGACTTACTTACATCAATATAACCAGCTACCACAACTAGGTTGACCAGTTCCCTCAATTTGCTATTCTTACCATAGCTTTCTACCAACCCACTTATGTTTTTTACTCGGTCTAGCCTTGCCATGGAGAAAATTATGGGCTTTGATTGGTCTTTCAGTGTCCCACTGCCACCATAGTAACAAAGATCAAGTCATCAACTAAATGCTATCTGCGATTTACCTTGTCATAGCCACATATTCACATTTGAAACAGTGAGGTGTTTCATAAGGTTTCTTCCAAATGCTTAGATATTTTATCCCTTATGAGATATAAGCATATGGAGGTAGGGGTGGGATTCTAGACAAGACAACCAACTGTCTACAGCTGGTTATATTTTACAGCAGAGAATGGTCCCATGAAAGAAAGAAAAGTGATGAAAGATAATAGCTAATGGGTCATACTTAACCAATTTCTTGCGTGATAGATCACACTCACAGACAACTAAACCAACCTAAATTAATATTGATCCTCTAGACAAATGATAGTAGCCTAGAATCCTCAAATTGATTATAGGACCTATTACTTCTGAAGCTATGGATCTTCTCAAAGTAAACAACACAAATTCAAAATTTGTCCATTTGAAATAGACTCACATGTATTCATCAGTCTGCTCAGGATCATACAGCAACTTCTCAATTGAACCATGCAGAGCTGTAAGTCTTTTCTGCTTCTCAGAGTAGGGGAAATATATGCACATATCTGCTC